CCTGCTCGGAGGGATTGGCCTTGGCTCGGCGGGCTTTCACCTGCCGGCCCCGCTCTCCCTGCCCGCCCACACGCCCTGCAGTCACCGAGACGCCTGTGGAGCTGCGCGGCCGCACCTTTGAGGACGTGTCTCTGGAGGTGTGAAGCGCAGGAGCTGCCGTTCAAAGTGGCTGGTGCCGCTCTGTGGCACCCGGGTCGTGCTCTCATGGTTGGGACCCTCTCACACACCTAGCGGTGGGAACCCTTGGATGTCAAACCTAGCGCTCACACCGCCCCTTGATAGACCTGTGCTGTTGCATCGCCCATTCCCCTCCCCGTTGATTCTTGGCCAAAACTAATTCGCGCCCTGATCTGTTCCATCCACTGTGACGCATGCATGCGTTGGGCAAAGGGATTCGAGGCTGGGAGGCTAGCAATGTGACAGCGGTTCCCAGGGGGACGGCAGACAGGAAAACGCGAGGCAGGTGGTCCCCGCAAATAAGACGCGTTGTGCCCTGCCGCTAGGCCAGCGCAACAACCAGCTGGAGGCTGTCTCTCGTTTCCTGCTCTCTGCTGCCCTCCCCGCCCTCACGCCGTCTCGATGTTGGAGGGCGCGTCCCCGTCCAGCAGGTGCTTCAGGTGCATGTTGGTGACCTTGGTGAGGCGCCGCACCTTGCGCGCCTTGCGCTTTTTCTCCCGCGCCTCGCGCTTCTCCAGAACCTGCCGCGGCGCGGGCTTGAGGCCTGCCGGGGGCAGAGGCCGCACATGGCGGCATGAGCGGCTCTCCCTTGCCCACAACCTGGGGCCCTGGACTGCCCCTCAGGCCAGGCTGGCTTGCTGGGCCCGAACCAAGGCACGCGCTGCCGATGCCGCCACCCACCTATCTGCTGCAGTGCCTCCTGCAGCTCATCCTCCTCATCCGGCAGCTGCTCCCCAATCGACAGCCACAGCTCCTGCGGGACGGGGGAAGGACAGGCTGAGGGCTGGGCGGCGCTGCCGTGGGCACGCTCCGCTGTGCTGCCAGCTGTGCTGACGTCCACGCATGCGCAGCGCCGCCCTTCTGCGCGCCGCCATGCGCATGCCACCGCCACCAACAGCAGCAGTAGCAATCCCGTCGCCGCAGCAGCAGCGCAGCAGCAGCAGCACAGCGGCGGCAGAGCAGCAGCGGAGCAGTGGCAGAGCAGCAGCGGCAGAGCAGCAGCGGCGGCAGCATCGCGAGAGCAGAGCGCCCAGCGGCGTGCCTGCAGGTCTGGATCCACCCGCAGCTTGATGCGCTGGTCCACAGGGTAATAGACCTCCTTGCGGGTCACATCCGCCGCAGGCAGGCTCAGCAGCAGGCCTTCCTTCTTCAGCTCCTGCGCAGCCAGGCGCGGGAGCGGGACGCGCCGGGCGCAGCGCCGCATGTCGGCAGCCGGGGCGGCAGCAGGGGGTGGCTGGGTGGAGAGGCGAGGCGGCAGGCGCAGCGATGCCGCTGCGCGGCGTGCGCGGCAACCCAGCTCTGCCTCGGAGCCGCTGCCAGCTGAGCTGCCAGCTCAGCCCGCTGCCTCCATTAGGCAGCAGCAGCAGCAGGTGAAGCAGCGGCGTGCCGGACAGGGAGCAGCAGAGCGAGGGCAGGCAGGGCCGAGCACAGCATCCAGCCAGCCCCCACCTCTAGGTCTCGCTGCACCCCAGGGTATGCGTCCTGCAGCTCCCCCAGGGCCGCATACCCCTCGCTCTGCCGCTCCCGCCGCCGCATGTACTCCAGCACTTCCTGCTTGCTGTGCACGTTAGCCACCTCTGCAGGCAGGCGCGGGGGTTTGGGTTGGGAGATTGGTTGGCGGGGCGGGGCAGCGCGGGGGTGGGGGTGAGCGGGCGTTTCAGGGAGGAAAGGGTCTCGGGGAGCGGCGGCGGCGTTAGGAGCGCGGGACAAGCGTGGGGCACGCGAGGCGGCCGTGGCAGTACAGAAGTACAGGGAAGGGTGGGGATGCGATGCATCTCGGGCGCAGCTGGGCACCGCCCCGCCGCCGCCGCGCCGCACCTGGGCGGTACGCGTACAGCCCGTCGTCCCGCGCCACCACCTTGCTGTTCACCGCCAGAGCCTCGGCCAGCTTCCTGTCTGCCTGCGGGTCGCTGCATGGCGGGGCGGGCAGGGCGGGACAGGGCCTGGGGATGAGCAGCCTGTGTCATAGGCTGCAGCTGGGAAGATTCTCGATGAAGCGACCACTCGCCAACTACGAATGAAGCTGGCGGGCGGGCGGGTCGCGTCGGCGGGCGAAGCTGGCAGCGGCGGCCTGGCGTGCATAGCACAGGGGTGCTCTGCCTGCTGCAGGGACAGCACTTGAAAGAGGCTCGACCGTGCAGCCCCCAACTCACTAGCCGGTGGCGGCGGCGATGGCCTGCGGCCGCTGCGGCTCGGCGGCGGTCCTTAGGAAGTCGACGATCGACTTGAGCTTGGCTCCCAGAGGCATGGCCTGCTGCGCCTGGCGCTGCCGCCAGTCGGACGCGGCGCCGGCGCCGGCAGCAGAGGCAACTGAGGCGGAGGCCTCGCCAGATTGTGCCGAAGCGGCCTTGCCGCCGCGCCCCCGCCCGCCGCCCGCTCTGCCGCCGCGCCCCCGCCCTGCACCCACGGAAGCGGAGGAAGCCAGGGGTGGGGTGCTGGCGCCTGGCAAGGGACGCGGGCGAACTCTGCGGCGGCGCGGCAGCGGCGGGACGGTTGCGGCTCGCGGCGGCTCGGCGCCCACCTGCCCCACCGCCCGCAGCAGCCTTGGCGAGCTTGTCCTCCCGCTCCTGCCGCGCCTCGGCCTGCACGTGCAGGGCCTTCTTCTGGCCCTGCTTGAAGGACGCCAGCAGCGCGTTCACCCTGGACATCCTGGCTGCCTGCCCTGCGCTTCGCTTAGCCACAGGCTGCGCGCCGGGCGCGGCGTCAAGTCCCGGCGCAGGAGGCCCCCAGGGGTGCCGCTGCGCCCGTTTACACGCTGGTGATTATCAGGGGGTCCTCAGCAAGTGGCGGCGGCCACGAGGGCCTGCACAGAGAGCGCCTAGCCTGATCGACGCAAGTCCTGAGGGCTTTGCAGGCCTGCAAGGGGCCTCAAAAGCTGTGGATATGTGCTGTGAGGCAGGGGGATGAGACAGAAGCCAGTAAAACAGCCACCAGTCGCCGCTTTGGGAAATGCAGGTCGAGGGAGGAAAGGTGGCGGGGTAAGGTGGTGGAGAAGAGGAATTGGCTGCCCCACGCACACCAGTGATCGCTGCCAGGCCCGGCGGGACTGGAGCTGGGCGCCGCTGGCTTGCAGCACCTCTCCTCTCACCCACGCCCCACTCTTCCCGGGGTGCAGCCCGCCCCTCAGCCACAGTATCGGGCGCAGGGTGCATCCAGCATGGCTGCAGCCCAGCTGAGCAGCTGCCGGGTGGCCACCTTGGTTGGCAGCAGGCGGCATGGCCCTTACCGGGCGGCCAGGCAGCAGCGGCAGCACATAGTGGCGGCGGTGCACGGTGAGCAGGCTGGGGCGCCCAGCGCGCTGGCTGGTGCGGGCCGCACACGACCATCAGCAGCGGCGGCGGTCACGCTGCGCCGGGTTGGCGCTCGCGGTTCGGGGCTGATTGCAAGTAGTGCTGCAGCCGCTGGACCTCTGGCAGCGCGGCCGCCGCTGGTGCTGCTTACCTCCACCTCACTGCTCAATGTACCGCGAGGCTCTCCTTCTAACCGGCCCTGCCGTGCGCCGCTGCTTCTCCCGCGCAGGCACGCCCGCGGCGGCCGACGTGGGCGACCTCCAGCGCTTCCAGCAGCTCTGGACGCCCCCCGCGGCGCAGCTGGTGGATGTGCAGGCGCGCGGCGGCGCCCCCGCGGCCGCAGCCTCCGCCTACGACGACCACAAGCCGCGCACGCCGCCCCCGGACCTGCCCTCCCTCCTCCTCGACTCGCGCATCGTCTACCTGGGCATGCCGCTGGTGCCGGCCGTGACGGAGCTGATCATAGCAGAGATGCTGTACCTGCAGTACAAGGACCGCACCAAGCCCATGTACCTGTACATCAACTCCACAGGTGGGCAGGGGCGGTACAGGCGGAGGTACGGGCGCGCGGTCCAGGCGCGCCAGCACCTCGCCAGCCCGCCAGACCGCGCAGCCCCGCGGCGGCCTGCTGCCGACGCCTGCCCGCCAGGCGACGGGTGCAGCGGGTGGGGGTGGAGGTGGCCAGGGCCTGCGCTCATCTCCCGCCGCCGCCTCTGCCATTGTCTACACGCAGGCACCACCCGCGCCGACGGCGAGACGGTGGGCTTCGAGACTGAGGGAACCGCCATCTACGACACCATGTGCTTCGTCAAGAACGAGGTGCGCGTGACAGATGGGCCTGGGGGCCCTCCCGGGGCGCAGAGAGCGTCAGGCCGGCGCCGCGCCGCGGCACGGCACACTTGGTGTGGGGGCAGCATCGCGGGCGGAGCGCCTCCGCCGACCGCCTGCCCCGGCTGCACGCTGCTTCTTGGGACGCGCCGTTGGGGCAGCCGCGGGCCGCCCGACGCGGCCCTGACGCCGCCTGGCGCCCCCGCTGCCCTGCCCGCCGCGCCCGCAGGTGCACACTGTGGGCGTGGGGGTGGCCATCGGCCAGTCGTGCATGCTGCTGTCGGCCGGGGAGAAGGGCAAGCGGTTCATGCTGGAGCACGCCACCGCCATGCTGCACCAGCCGCGCGTGCCGCCCACGGGGCAGCGCCAGGCGATCGAGATCCAGATCAAGTGGCGCGAGGTGCTGGCGCAGAAGCAGAACATGCTGGCCATCCTGTCCCGCACCACCGGCCACAGCCCGGACAAGCTGGACAAGGCGAGTGCGGCCGGTGGTGGCTGGTGGCCTGGCCTGGCCCTTGGCGCTGGCGTGTGTCAAGCCGGGGCCGAGGGACGGATGGCTGCGGCGTGCGGCACCGGTGGCGGCAGCAGCCAATGCCTGCGCCCGGCTTGGTGGGGCGTCCCGGCAGCCGCGCTCGCTGTGCTGGCGCCTCTGCTGACCTGCCTGCTCTTCCGCCTCCCCTCCTCCGCCCCCGCGCCGACCCGCCTGCAGGACATGCAGCGGCCGCTGTATATGCAGCCCGCCGATGCGCTCGCATATGGCGTGATCGACGGCGTGGTGACCCCTGAGAAGAAGATCATCGATGATGTGAAGAGCGCAGACCAGTGGGACAAGGAGGCGGGCCTGGTGGCGCGGTGAAGCTCGCCCTCGAGGCACGCCAGGATGGCGCCTGGGTGTCTGGGTGCGCTGCCGGGCGGCCCTGGGTCGCGAGTCCTCTAGTATATATCCTCCAGCAGCCTGGGGTTAGCGGGCGCCCCCGCCATGCCCGCAGTGCATCGCCTCGGAAGTGCTGTGGCTATGCCGAGCCTGTAAGCAAGCATTGCCTGCCAGTTGCTTGGGCTGCAATGAGGATGGCGGGTGCCCTACGTTTGGTGGAGGGGACTGGGGCAGCAGGAGCGCGCCTGCCGCCCGCAGGCGCAGCATGGCTCAGCATGCCCAACTGCCGGTTTTGCGACTGCCGCAATTGGCCGTCCCTCGCCGAACGCCGTTCGCCCCACCTCTTGATTCGGCCTTGTCAGCTGTTTTGGACACGGGACCGAGCTGGAGCCACGGCCGATCGAGACATGGCGATCTCGTTAACCGGCGTTGCCATCCTGCTGTTGGCTCTGTTGTATGGCGCCGCTGGTGAGTAGCATCGACTGTAGCAGTGCACCGCACACGCAACACGCAGGGCGCCGCCTCCCCTGAGCCTCCCGCCCGCCCGCCTCCATGCGCATGTGCAGCCGCCACTCAGCCAGGGTACAGCTGCGACTGCTCCTCGCGCAACAACTGCATGTGCCCCAGCAATGAGGCGCCCGGCGGGATGGAGCTCAAGGACGTGCCACAGTTCATCCTGTGGACGGTGAGTAGCCCACCCTGCCTGCGAGCAGTCTGCTGGCCTCTTAATCGGGCGGAGACGTCAATGCCGTGTCAGGCTTTACGACCCCATCCCGATAGCTGAAGCGATGCTCAATTGTGTTGCACCTGGTGCCCTACTGTCGCAGCATGACGACGGCATCACGCCGCTGACGGAGCGGTCGTTCCGGGAGGTGGCTGATGAGCGTCAGAACCCCAACGGCTGCCCCGTGCGCACAACCATGTTCACCACCGCTCAAGCCACAGGTGCGGCAGCTTGCGGGGGCCACCAGGCAGCAGCACCGGGCGGCAGCACCCAGGACAATTTCTGCTATGGCCGCCACCTGTCTGTGCGGGCCGTGCGGCCCTGCCCTGGGTGCCAGCAGCCGCTGCGGTCTCCCACTCCCACCCCTGTGCTCACCTCCTGCCTGCCCATGAGCAGACTGCGAGCTGGCCTACGGCATGTGGAAGGACGGGTACGAGATTGCCACCCACACCGCCGACCACACCTCGCTGCCAGACGGCACGCCGCTCAACGAGACAGTGGATGCCATCCTGGGCGCCAAGCGCTTCCTCAGCCAGGAGTGCGGCATCCCGGCCTCCGACATCCGCGGCTTCCGTAACCCATACCTCGTCACCAACCCGCTCGTGCGCCAGGTGGGCTGGGGCTGGGAGGTATCCAGGGGGGGATAGCGGGAGGCAGCTTCCCTGCAGCCCCTCCTGCTGTACAGTGCGTACCATTGCTGGGCGAGCCAGTCCCCCCTTTAGCAATAACTTGGCATCGTGCTTGGCTCAATGGGCTGCGCAGGTGCTGTTCGAGAATGGGTTCCTCTACGACAGGTGAGGCCTGCTGGGGTGGTCAACATGCCAGCTGAGGCCCTCCATGGCGCCGCGGCAGCCGATGCCGCCATGCAGCGCGCCGGCGCCTCACCAGACCTGCTGCCTCTGCTGAGCCAGGCCTGCACCCGGCGCTTGCCGCTGCCCCTGCAGCACGCTGCTTGAGGCCACCAACAGCGAGTCGCTTTCCACCTCGATGGAGGACCGGACCTGGCCCTGTGAGTCGTTGGGGAGCGCCGCCGAGCTCTGCTTGCTTACCCTGCAGGGAGGTGGCACCTGCGGCATCCTCCCTTTCGTACACCGAGGCATCAATCCAGCAAGGAGGAGGGGCGGCGGCACGCTGGCATCTTGGGGTCTGTGTGTGTGCTGCCCATAAGCTGCTTGCTGACCCACGCCCTTTGCCCCGTGCCTGGGGCCCTCCCGCCTCGCTCCCGCCCGTCCCTCTCCCCTGCAGACACAATGGACTATGGCATCGCCCAGAACTGCGCCTGGTGAGAGCCCCAGGCTGGCTTGCAGCCTGCTGGCACATTGCATGCTGGCTGGTGGCGGTGTACGGGGCAGCGGGTGTGGCATGGGCCTTCGGGCCGGGCAGGCGTGTGCCCTGTGTGGTGGGCCCTGTGGTGGGAACAGAGGTGTGGGTGGGCCGGAGCAGCACCCCCATGACCTGGGCATCCACCCTCCCACTGCATTTCGAGTGCCCCGCATCCACCTCATCACCGAGGTGTGCCCCCTGGCCTCCCTCATTGGGCGCCGCAGGTTTGCGGACACCCAGGCCTGCGATAAGTCGGAGCGCTGGCCAGGGCTGTGGGAGGTCCCACGTGAGCCGCTGCTGCTGCTGGCTGCCGCTGCAGCCCAGTGCCCTGCTGCCGCACAGAACGGCGTCAAGCGGCGGCGCTGGCCGGCTGGCTTTGGCTAGTACCACCCCTTGTGGCCTCGCCGCTCAGCCTGATCAGCTTTTCCTGTCCTGCCTGCCTGCCTGCCTGCCCCGGGGCGTGCAGTGTGGGTGCTGCAGGTGCTGGGCCTGGAGTTCACGATGGATCCGGGCTACTATGGCGGCCGGGGCGTGTATGAGCCTCTGAAGGAGGCCTTTGACGCCGCCTACGCCGGCAACCGCGCCCCCGTGCCCATCTACATCCACACCACATGGGTGGAGAAGCAGCCCGAGCGGCTGGAGGAGCTGAAGCGGTTTGCAGGTGGGCGGCTGTGGGGCTGGATGGGCGCTGGCGGGTGTTTCCGCACAGCAGAGGGGGCACAGGGGGAGGCGCATGCGATGGTCTGGCGATGTGCATGGGTGGCTGGTCCGATGTGCCTCCTCATCTCCCCAACCGTTCCAAGCCATCCACCCGCCCCTCCGCCTCCTCACCTGCCCCCGCAGACTACACTCTTGACAAGGGCGACGTGTTCTGGGTGACCATGAGCCAACTGATCGAGTGGATGAGGAACCCTGTGCCCGCCTCGCAGCTGAGCAAGGCCATGTGCGCACGGCCGGCGGCGGCGGCGGCGCCGCCGGCCATGCCGGCCGATGGTGCCAACGTCACGCTTACCTTGAACGGTGGGTGGGTGCCAGAGACGGCTCGCGTGGGAGGGAGGGCTCCCAAGGGATGGGTGACGGGGGTGCTGCTGCCGCCAGCCAGCTCGCCGCATACATGCGGACAGCGCTCATCCTGCCTGCACGCCAAGCTGGCAGCCTGTCCGCTCCTGAGAGCCAGCTGCCCCCTGCTGCCGCAGGCGCCACGGCGACGCAAGTGGCTGACCAGTCCGACCGTCTGGTGGCGGCGGTGGCGCAGCTGCTGGGCGCAGAATCAGACGACACGTTTGTGGCGGCTACAAGCGGCGGGCCCGGTGCGAGCAAGGCTGCTGGCGCCCAGCGCAGGCTGCTGGCCCAGGCGGGCAGCCCCCTGCAGGTCACTGTGGTGGCTGCCGGCGCCGACCCTCTCGCCCTCTACTGGCACGCCAGTGCTGCCAACACGTGAGCGGGCTGGCCTCTGCGCTCAGTGAGGGTGCCTGCCTGGCACAGCAGGATGCTTCTGCTGCCGCTGCCGCGGCCGCGACCAGCCTGTTCTGCGGATCCCATCAGCCCTGCTACCTGCGGCGCTGCTGGTTATGCAGGCAGGCAGCTCTGGATGGGGAGCTGTCTGTCATGGGTCTGCAGACGGAGGGCAAGCCTGTGGTGGTGCCTTTCAAGGTGTGTGCGGTACCATGGGAGTGCCGGTACTGTCTCTTCCCCACCTTCACCCGCGCGCTGGAAGGTGGCTGCGCGCTGCATGCTGTGGGGCTTGTGGCTCCAGCTGCCGATCCCTTCTTCTCCTCTGCGCTGCTGCAGGGCGGCGTGGCGCTGTCGGTTGCGTCCGCTCCGGCCCCGGCTCCTGTGCCGGTACCCAAGCCCGCCGCCGTGCCTCTGCCCAGGGCAGCCCCTGCCGCAACCCCCGCCGCAGCCTCGGGCACGGCAGCGGCTGCTGGCGGTGCTGACGATGCCACCACCAGCACTCCCACCGCCGCCAGCGACCTACCGCCCAGCAGCAGCAGCAGCAGCACCCCCGCTGCTCCCACCGCCAGCAGCACCCCGGCTCCCGCCACCATGGAAGCGGTGGACACCAGCGGCTCTGGGGGCCTGAGCACGGGGGTGATTGTGGGCATTGCGGTGGGCGCCGTGGCGATGGCCCTCCTGCTGGCCGCCATCGCCGCGTTCCTGCTCACCTCGCGGCCGCGCCGCTCGCACAGCGCCAAGATGTCTGCCGCCTCGAGCATCGTGGACGAGACCCCCCAGGGCTCCCCCACCAAGGGCTCACCCATCAAGGGCTCTCCCATCAAGGGCTCCCCCACCAAGCAGGTGTGTGGCATGCCCGCACTTGAGCTCCCGAGTGGGCAGCGGTTTCACGGTGCACGCTCCACCGCCGTGTGCGTGCATCCCATGGATGGTGCCACACTGCCCAGCTGCAGCGTCCTGCTCATAAACCGCTCTCTGCGATCCCGTCCGCTGATCATCTCCCCTTCCCTTCATCGCCTGGCGCCAAGCAGGACACCCCCCGCCAGCTCAACATCATCGTCACCTCTGCTTAGGCAGGGCAACAGGATACTGGCGCCGGGCCTGCAACCCTCCCCTTGCCATCCCCATGTGCTTGTCGGTGCCTGGATGAGTATCCAGGCACACAGGTTGTATTTTGTACTGATTCTCTTACTTGTTAGGTAGTTCGCTATGCTATGCTGGAAAGCTCCCCCCAACTCCTTTCAGTGTGGTGTCCCCATGCACAAATTTTCAACGCTATCCTCGACCTGCTACTCCCTTTCTCCGCCCCTGACTGGGCGCTCACAGCTGCGGGTGTTCATTGATTCAATGCCTGCATGCACTCTGCAGACGTGTACACATGTAAACGCGGGTGGTTGCCTGACCGTCGGTTGAGCGGGTTGGCTGGTGGCTACCTGTGATGGCATGAGCACGGGCTGAAATCACACTCAGGCAGTATAGGAGCTTTCCTGGGATACAGGGAGGGGAGAGGACTGATAGATAATCAGTTGCACGGATGACGCTCTGCCCTGAGGGCGGTGCAGGTACAGTCTCGCCGCCAGCTCCCATGCGGACCTGTACAACGGGCCGCATAATGGCGCATTGTTGCTCCCCCTCGACATTCCTCTTACCTGGCGCAGGCCTGTAACAGCGTCGCAGTCCACCCCGACAGCTAGGGCTCCCGATTCGCGTCATCCCCGCCATGCGGCGCCCAGCCCTCCTGCTGGCGCTGCTGTTGCTGGCGGCGGTGTGCAAGGGCGATGATGACTCCACCGAGGTCTCAAAGGTAAGAATGGGGCGTGTGCCTGCAGGGCGCTGCGAGACTCGCGGCCAGCTACGCCGCACCCTGCCCCGCCAGCCCTCTGCCCTTGACAGCGGCTGCAGCCGCACCGAATGTCGTTGCCGGCAGAGGCCAGGGCAACACGGATTGGCCAGCTTCTTGGGCCGCCGTCGCGGCGACACTTGGCGGGCGCGTGGGGCTGTAGGGGGCGCAGCAGCTTACACCAGTTGACCCACCTTCCTCCCTCCCTTCCTGCCTGCCCTGCAGGTCTCCGAGCCGCTGCCCCCCTGCAAGCCGGGCGAGCACCACCACCACTGGTGGCACCACCACGATCGCTGCGAGGAGGAGGGCGAAAAGCACCACCACTGGTGGCGCAAGCACGGCGCATGGGACGAGGGCGAGGGCGAGGAGCACCACCACCACCACCACGAGCACGGGCACGGCTGCAAGGGCTGGTGGCGCGGCGGGAGGCACGGCGTCAGCAAGATGGGGCACGAGTGGAAGGAGGCGGGGCAGCAGCTGAGCAGCTGGGGCAAGGCCCACCCTGCCTGGGCCACGGTGCTTCTGTCGCTGGGCGTGGCGAGCCTGGCCGCCGCCGCCGCCGCGCTGGCCGCGTGGCTGGGCCACCGCAGGTGCGTGTGTGTGAAGGGAGGGCTGGCGCGAGCCTTGCTCGCCTGTGCCGTGCTGCTGCGTCCTGCCCTTTGGGGCCAAAAGGAAGAGCCACTGCATGGGAGGATGCGACTTCATGCCGAGCACGGTCCTACTTTCCAGTTCTGCCGACAGCTGTCCTACCCGCCGCTTCCTGCCCCGTCCCCTGCCGCTGCCCTGCAGGCGCATGCGTGCTGCCCGCGCCGCCGCCAAGGCCAAGCCCGCTGGTACCTCGGTCGACGGGGAGGGTGAGCCGCTGCTTTCAGAAGCAGCACGGCAAGCCCCCGCATCCGCCGCCTGGGTCCTCCCCTGC